TATTAATTAAAATTACCAAAATCATTAGTCGTAACTTTAATGGATTGGCCCTCATTACATTACATTTCATTATATTTTATTTTTCTCTCACATATTTTCAACCACATAATCTTTTATAAAATAATATTACATGTACATCAAAAAAATTTCATTCTTTTTCAACCATTCATTTAAAAAAAAAAAAAAAAACTATTCTACTAATTTTCATTTCAAAAAATAGGGGGCAAAATGATGATAAAAGTAAACTATCTTAAATGCATACAAATCTATATGCTGTTGACTATTAATTGTTAGGGCAAGAGATATGACAGAACTTATTGCTAAAGTCAACCGCCTCATCGTTTCGCTTTAAAGACGTCTATTAAAATATATAAAGTCAGAGGATCAACAGTCCCGTATTCAATTCATATTTGACTCGACAATGAACCTGACCGCTTCACCAGAATAATAAATATAAAAAACTTGAACTAGCTTGTAACATTTACTTCTGTGACATCCTACGCTCATTTGATACAATGTATAGATTGATTTTAGCATTTTTTTTTTATCTGATTCATTATTTCTTTGTTTAATAGAACTGTACCTAGAGAACACGAAATAAGACCTCAACTGTTGAAGTATCTTTAATAAATACTATTTTCAAATATTATTGGTATAAGATTCATACTTGGCTTAATTATTTTCCTTTTCTTTTTCTTTGCCATATTTTTCATGTAGATAGTATTTCAGTTATGCAAAATATAACAAATCAGTTTTATACATTAGTTTTAGCATTACCGTTCTGTTTTGTATCGAGTTAATAACCCAAATGGAAACTTTTTGTAAAGTTCAGTGACCCCGTGGAAATCTTTTGTAAAATTCAGTGATAATTTTGGTGATTTTAAAAGTTCAGTGACTTCATGAAAACTTTTTGCAAAGTTTAGTGACCATTTGGGTTATTAACCCATTTTTGTATCTAAAATTTTAAAATAAACTAAAAGATAGAATAGATAAATGGGGAACTTTCTAATTGGACTAGGAATTACGATAAGGAAATAGGGAAACGATCTAATAAACAATAGTGCTTAATTTATATTAAGTATCGATGACATGACGTGTCAATTCTTTAATGGATAAGTTTATGGTGGATATTAAAAGCTGGATTAATTTTGGCATATGTCAATTCATTGATGTGACATGTTACTTATGCTTAGCATAATTAGAAATGATCTACTAAACAGCAATGCTTAATATTACTAAGTGCAGTTGACACGACATATCAATCAATTAGTAGATAAATTTATGGTAGATCTTAATACTTGAATTTCTTTCATCGATAAATTGATGTGTAATGTCATCGATACGTAACTCATAGATCATTTCTCAAAGGGAAATAGAAATCATCTACTAAGCATCGGTGCTTAATTTATGTTAAACACTGATGACATGACATATCAATCAATTAGTGGATAAGTTTGTGATGAATCTTAATATTTGAATTAAAATTGTTGTTCATCAATAGATTGATATGACATGTCATCAGTTTTTGGTATATATTTCTTTAAGAAAAAATGATCGTTTATATATATGTGTGTGTGTGAAGTAAACATACGAAGAGAACCCGTCTTGATAATGTATGATACTTATTTGATAAATATAAAGTAGCAACACCCCTATTTATGAGCCGGCATCTTCTCGAATGGACATGTGTTTAATATTTTTTTTTATTTCTATATACATTTTGAAGTTTTAGAACTTACAGTACACATCTCGAACAGTTATTTGAACATGTTAAATATATCCATATTTATAGTTCTAAAACACGAAGAATACGTCAACAAGTATTGATTTCATTTTATATAATTTCTATTTGAACCACATTTTCTTCCAAACTCATTTTCACTCGTACATTTTTTTGTTAAAATAATTTTGCATCTTCCAAATATTGGGGTTAAACAAATTGTATCCAACAGTACTTCTCTTGTAGCAAATCACGGAGTCAAATATAAGCATTGCACCATGTGCGTGCACGAGCAATATATCTTGATTAGTCACCACCATGTGCATGCCCATCTTTCCAACTCTGTGCATGCTTATGTATGTATATAATATATAGGAAAAAGATAAACCGACAAGCCCTGTCCGTCCAGAGCGCCCATCCTATTGGCTGGGAGTCTGTACAATCTGTGTAAGTGTAAAGAATATATATACACACATGGTTTGACAGAAATGGTCAGCCTCTACCATTGGAGTGGCTGCCGAAAATAACTTTTATTATTAAAGGTTGAACTCCAACTTTCCTCACCACCTCGTCTCTGGAGTATCGTGAGAAAGATTAATTGCGGGATGTGCCACAGCAGGTCAGGGAACAAGAGCTACATGTATATCGGTGCCCACAAAGAATCTCAATTCAAGTTTCAAAAATCGAACTCTCACACTGCGACTACAGCAAGGTTGAGTATATCTCGACATTGTCCTTTGCACCACTGGAATATACCTTGGGGGGCAACTATTATTATTATTATTATACAATGTCGTGTTAGATTTTACAATATAATACATTTTGAAATAGTGAATTTTTGGAGAACGTAGAGTTAAAAAGTAGAATAAATTTTAAATTTTCATGCAAAATATTTTATTGTGAAAATTTGTGATTAAAAATAATTTTGAAAAAAAAAAGAATTTTGAAATAATGATAGATAACCGGTGCAAAATATATTACCTTAACATGTGACAGTGAATTGTTACCGTGCCGACCCTCACTGTCGAAAATAGGCAATTGTCTATTGAGATTTGAGTATTGTAATTAATATTTCATATTAAATTATCCATAATTTGTTGTTTGACATAATTAAGCCAATGGCTTTTTGCAGATGTCAATTACTCAAAAGATAAAGTTGACCATAGAGTTTAGGCAGACGTCAATTACTCAAAGATAATGTTGACTATAGAGTAATTATATGGATTGATTTGTCATGGCAATTATAAAACATTTACTAAGCCACTGTTTGAGTCTATTTTTTATAATAATATTTTGTAAAAAAAAGTGATTTTTTTATTTTTTTTTATTTTTTATGTTTTGAGAAACTGGAGTTAAAAAGTAAGATATATTTATTTTTAAAATTTACATGCAAAATTAATTTATTGAAAGAAAGTGTGATTTAAAATGAATTTAAGAAGAATTCTAAACAATGAAGCTCAAACTTAGAGCCTATTTGGGAGGAATTTTTTACCCAAAAAATTTGATATTTTGACTGTTATTTCGTTATTTCATTATTTCAGTCGTAATTTTTGACTTATTCTCTTACAGTAGACCATATTTTTCTTTTAAAGGTCAAAAAATCAATTCTCAAAATTTATCTCAAATGGGGGCCTTAGACATTTTTTCGACTTTTGGTTTACCACCTCACAGATTGATTAGACTATTGGGCTGGGATTGGGACATCAACGAAGATAAACTAACTCTAAATGACGTAAGCTTGTTTGCTCAGATTTAAATTAAATAAGAGACAAGCAAGTCATTTTGTTTACGAACACGTTTGAATATTATTGATCTTAAAATTTATCTGATCAAGTTGTCAACGTATCTCAGCCATCTCCCCATTCATCTAAGTATCACCTCCACTGAAATAAACTGTTTAGAGTGCAAAGGTCTTCATTTTTTTAAAAAATAAAGTGTGCAAAAGTTTGCAGACAAACGGTGAAGTCAACTACTTGAACAAGAAAGAGAGTGAATGAGTGCAAGAAAGACAGGTGCAATGAGATTTGCCTAGAGGTTAGATAACTTATCTTTTGAGTGCAATGATTCATATATATATATATATATATATAGGGAATAATGCTGAACAAACAGGAAAAAAAATTGAGATGGCAATTCATGATTGAGTGTTTTTATGATTTTTTTTCTTATTTTCCAACAAGTGTAATTTGAAAATGCTTTATGTCATTGACTCTGACCATGTAGCACGATTGATATATATGAGGCATGTGGGCCAAGACAGACCATTGAATCGGAGACAAGCTCAAGAAGAGATGGTTTGATTTAAATCGACCCAATTCAATTGACATCATTTATGCCTAATTAACTAGCGTGGGATGGGGGTCCTATTCTGCCATGTGTATGTAACTTAATTTACTAGTATGATAATTCCTCAAGTTTGAGGCGTTTCTTTATGTGCCGGTCAAATTTGAATATATAAGTTGTCAACAAGGTGAGAGTTTAAATTCTTTCTCTAAACTACGAGTCGATATCAAATTGGTGAGAACTCAAGAATTACCTCTGAAATACAAGTCAATTAAGCATGTGAGAGCTATGAATGGCCTTAGAAATATAGTCAACTTCGAATAGATATGGATTTAAAATTTGTCTCTAAAGATAACATACATCCAAAGATCTAAAAAAAAGTCGATTGCATTCACCTTGTAATATAGGATATACAACCTGAAATACATCATAATATCTCCAAAATTGGGGACCATATGCTCTCTCCATGCTTATGACAATGAAGAAAATAATTAATGGCAAATCGATATTTTTTCAAACTATACCACAAAAGTAACACAAATAATGAATAGATTGCTGGTTTTATCAAATTATGGCTATTACTTGGGAGAGACAAATGACCAAATTCCCTATATTTATTTTAAAACTTCAATAGCGATAACTCTATTTGGAGGTTAAGATTATAATTTTAGAAGTTTGATATCCTTGGACCAATTTTTGTCGAAAATTGGATATTTTCATTTTTATTTATTTATTTTTCCTATATAGTTTGGTTTTGTTTCAAGTTGCAGTTAAAATCAATTGCTTGGTTTAGTGTATTCGTTTCACTCACATGTCCATGTGACATCAATTATCAAACTGATGGTCTCAAAAATGCGATATCAATTTGATTTTATGGTTTTACAATTTTTTATTACATCCTAGTTTTGATCGAGAAAAAAATATTTTTATTTTTAAATTCCTTATGAAGTTATCAGTAAAATTTTGTAATCCTCGCCAAACAAGTTCTGGCATCTCAACCAATAGCAAACCGCTAACAAGCCGACCTAAGAGTGTAAAAAAAATTATAAAAAGGACAAGAAATCTAAGAGTTTCATACCAAAATATTCAGCCTAAAGAAAAATGGCTCCGATTTCAAGCCCCCACTTCATAATTTTCCCTTTCATGTCTCAAGGCCACACCATTCCTCTTCTCTATCTCGGCCGCCTCCTCCGGCGGCGTGCTATCGACGTCACTATTTTCACCACCGCCGGAAACTCTCCATGCATCCGGGCTATTCTCCATGACACTGACATCAAACTTGTTGAACTCCCATTTCCACAAGAAATAGATGGTGTACCTCCTGGTGTTGAAAACACTGATAAATTGCCATCCATGGCTAGTTTTCTCCCTTTTGCTATTGCTACAAAATATATGCAGCATGATTTTGAAAAAGCCATTCAAAATCTTCAGCCTGTTTCCTGCATCATATCTGACACATTTCTTGGCTGGACTCAACAATCTGCTGCAAAATTTGGGATTCCCCGGTTGGTTTTTTCCGGCATGGGAATTTTTTCCACCACCGTGTGTCAAATAATGAATAGAGATAGGCCACAAGCCAGAGCAGTTTCCCCGGATAGTCCATTTCTGATACCTGATTTTCCTAAACTGAAGTTGACAAGAAATGACTTTGATCCACCTCTCTGTGAGATTGATCCCACTGGACCATGGGTAGATTTCATGGCGGAGCAAATCCTTGCCAAGGTGAAAAGTCATGGCTTAATTGTCAACAGTTTTAATGAGTTAGAATCTAGCTATGTTGATTATTGGAATAAGAAAATGGGGCCAAAAGCTTGGTGTGTTGGGCCACTCTGTTTAGCAAAACCACCTTCTACGGCTGCCCTGGAGAAACCACTGTATATTCAATGGCTGGATGATAAATCTGCGAAAGGTGAAATAGTTTTATACGTTTCATTTGGGACACAGGCAGAAGTTTCAGAAGAACAATTACATGAAATTGCTAAGGGTTTAGAAAAATCCCAGGTGAGTTTTCTGTGGGTTTTGAGGTCAAAAGGATTGGAAAATTTAAAGGGTTTTGAAGAGAGAGTGAAAACAAGAGGATTGATAGTGAAAGAATGGGTCGATCAAGTGGAAATCTTAAATCATAATGCGATAAAAGGGTTTTTGAGTCACTGTGGATGGAATTCAGTTATGGAAAGTTTATCTGCTAATGTGCCAATTTTAGCATTTCCAATGATGGCCGAGCAACACCTGAATGCTAGACTTGTAGCGGAGGAAATCGGTGTAGGACTGAGAATTATGCCGTCAAGTGGGTCTATCCGGGGGTTCGTGGCGGCGGAGGAGTTGGAGCAAATGGTGAAAGAGTTAATGGAAGGGGAAAAGGGTAAGGCGGTGAGAAGGAAAGTGGAGGAAACTAGAGACGCTGCATGCGCCGCCACCGTAGACGGCGGTTCTTCTTGGCACACGCTCAATGTCCTTATTGATGACGTTTGTGGGAAAAGATTTGCACAACCTTATTCTCACTTATCCAAAAATGAAGAATTTTTGTGTTGCCAAGGGGGCAAAGATTTACCTGCCATTCATACTAATTGAAGTTGCCCTTAAAATTATGTCATTATTATAATTAATGTTATTGGGAATGGTTCAATTTACGAAATGTCATCCGAGGCTCAACTGTTCCTTTGTGAGGTTGAGAATGTAGTCTTTGAATATATAGACTTCGAATATCAGTATTTGAAATGCCATAGGAGATATATTCTCCTTGGTAAGTTCTTAAGGCCTCGTTTGATGTATAGATGTTTTAAAATAGATTTTGCGAAAATTATTTTTTTAAAGAATATGTGGTTAAAAATTAGGAAAAAAATATTATGCATGATGCAAAATTATTTTGTCCATGTTTGGTACAAATTTAGGAAGAGACGTAAAAAATTTGACTAGTCTAATAGATTGAGATTTAAAAATAAATTAGTGTGCTATATTTGTGTTTCCTCATCGATAAAATATACTGAGTTATGTACTTTGTTAGCTTCTCATAAGTATTATCGTCTCATCTTTAGAATATGCTAGTTTTAAGTCCATAATCAGCTTGTTAGAATGTCCAAGATTGAGCATTTATCAGATGACACCAATATTCCTGTGCTTCGCTCCACTTAGGGCAACAAAAGAAATATCCTTCATATGCTATATTCTTCTTTGGAGTTACCGACGGGCTACAAACTCAAGTCTAAGTTGGTGGAGTGAGAGAGAAGACATAACAAAACTAATTAGGTCCTTTCCGTAATTGAGACTCTAATCTAATAGATGAGATGGAAGACACGGCGATCATGATATGGATTCGGAAGGGGGATACCATGCCAAAAAAATAAAAAAAAATTATAGTCCATATATCCAAAGTCTAAACTCTAATATGGATTGCAAAGGCAAAACTTCAACATTCATTCATATTCTGTCGTCCCTTATCTTCTCTCTCGATCTTTTCTCTAACATATAAAATATGAATTAAATTGTATGTACTGAATTTTGTTGACCGAACCAATGCCCTACTCTCACATGCGCGCAGGCCCCACGCACATTTAAAAATTCCTAACCGTGGACCCCGTCCTCCTATTGTGAGTGTATGTAAAAGATTAGATAAGAAAGTGGATGTAAGTGTAGCATAGTCCATAAAATATATGTATTTGCATATGACAATATAAATACTTATATCTGTATTTGTTTAAGGTGATTAATGTCTTAGATACGAATCTTTGATATGTTGATTAAAAATTTGTGCAAAGATTTTCCCGAAAAGTTATTGGAGCTCTGTGGACTATTAGACAATAGAAGTAGCAATGAAGCTTTGCTTTTCTTCTTCATTCTACACTAATTTTACTTTTACGGGATATCAAATTAGAAACCCGTAAACATCATGATTGGTTCATCGATTTTTGATTGAATCGGACAGTTCCAGATTTTACACCAATTTCTTAACATTCAGTTTTTTACACTATACCGAATTGGACTTGGGCACTGTTCCTCGATTTTTCGATTGAATCAGTCGATCAGGTCCGATTTTAAAAACATTGTTCATACCATGTCATGATCAATATATGCATAATTGAATCGTTTTTGTAAACTTTTCTAATTTGACAACGTTAGTTCAAACAATGGGTCAAATTATCTGAACTATACATTATTCGGAGAAACAATTTATTTGTTCAACTGTTATTTTAGTCTTGTTTGATTTTGCTAAAAAATATATTTTTAGTAAATTTTGATAAAGGTTAATGAAATTTGTAGTTGAAAAGTTGATAAAAAATAGTGTGTTCTATAAAATATGTGATTAAAATTAATTTGTTGACTTTGACTTAAATTTTTATTAACCTTTTAACAAAACCAAACGGCGACGTAACATGTTCAATTGTTCATGGTGCAAATCGGTAGGTCCTTTGTTTATTTTAACTGTTTCCAAAATTGCATTATTTATTACATATTTTCGAAAGAGTGTCCAATTAATCAATACGATTTTGTCGTGGTACGAATTGGGCGCATTTTTTTTTTTTTGATATCTAGATATTCACCTTACAGTGACTAAATCCTGGAGTTTACACTTTGACCTCTCAAGTTGCAGACAGGTTAAACCGCAGGTTGTGTCTCAAACTGACCAGTGCTCAAAAGTCCTCAACTAAATCCTGGAGTCTACACCTTGGGCGCATTCTTTGAATCTTGGGGTAAGTGCTTTCGTTCCAAATGTAGATGCACAAGTATTACTCTATTGCCAATGTAGAATAGTGTTACTGTGTTAGCATTAGTCGATAATGAGTTCTAAATTGTTAAATTAAATAAAATAAAAATACAATTAGTACTACATAGAATTACTGTATTAAAATCAAAGTTCTAAAAGGCTTAAAGCTTGGAGTTTAAGCCTCAAGCTTACGAACTTAAACTAGTAAAACTATTTCCTAGTTTTAATATTATTTTAATTATCTATACCAATAAATAAATAAAACAATGTATGCTTTGAAAATTTATAGAAATTTTATGAATTAATTATTTCAGTGGTCAATGAACTTATGTCTACGTCTTCAATTATTCACTAAAATTTAAAATATCGAGTTTTGACCACTAAATTTTGAAAAATATTGAAGATTACTCATTGGTACAACATTCATTTAAAATCTCTAACAGAATTGGTGACATAGCTAACGGAATGCATATATGGCGCCTCGTCACGTTGTTAAACTTTGAATGGTCGAATTTTAGTTACTAAACTTTGGAAAATGTCTTCGATTGCTCACTAAATTTTGAAACGATCTTTTATTGCTCACTAAACTTTGAGATTGTCGAATTTTGGCACTTTTTTTAAAAAAAAAGGTCTTCAATTGCTCAATAAACTTTGAAAAACGTATTCCATTGCTAACTGAACCTTGAGGTGGTTGAATTTTGGCCACCTTTGAAATAATCGAATTTTGGACGAAACTTTAAAAAATGTCTTCTATTCATCACAATAATTTTGGATTCAAATTTATAATTTAAGTTAATTTTAACTATTGTGTGTTTCATTGTAAAATTCGAATATTGAGGCTTAGAATTAATTTTATTTTAATAATAAATTTATTGTATATTTCCTTGTAATTAGTAATCACTTCATTTGCAAAGTTTTGCAAGCATTGTCCATCTTAATATTTGAATTTTGTAACAAAATATACAATAATTTTATTATTAAAAATTAATTAAATCTAAATTCTAGTATTTAAAATTTACAACAAAACACACAATAAACCCTTATTTGGTGAGGCCAAAATAAGATTTTTAGCAAATTTGATAATGAAGTGTATGGTTAAAAAACAAATATGTGATTAAAATTAATTGTTGAATTTGAGTTTGATAAAAATTTAAATTTAATTTCTACCAAAAATGGATTAAATTTATTGTTAGAATTAAATTAAATTCAAAACTTAATCTAAATTTTAACAATGAATTTTAGTTAAATTCAAATTTATTATGAGCAATAGAAGACATTTTTCAAAGTGATAGTGGTCTAAATTCGACCACCTAAAATTTTAGTGAGCAATACATGACGTTTTTCGAAATTTAGTAAGCAATCAAAGACATTTTTCGAAATCTAGTGGTCAAAATTTGTCCATCTCAAAGTTCGATGGGCAAAATTCAACTAACTTAAAGTTTAGTGAGTAATAAAAGACATCTTTCAAAGTTTAGTAAGCAATCAAAAACGATTTTTCTAAAGTTTAGTGACCAAAATTAGACCATTTCAAAGTTTAACAGCGTAACGAGGCGCCATGCATGTATTCCGTTAGCTACATCACCAATTCTACTATAGGTTTTAAACAGATGTTATACCGGTGAGTAACATCGAATATTTTTCAAAATTTAGTGGTCAAATCTTGATATTTTAAACATTAGTGAGCAATTGAAAACATACACATAAGTTCAATGACCATTGAAACAATTAACTCAAATTTTATACTTATTTTTAAACTTTCCAACAAAACATTATTTTCAAAATCAATAATGCTTTGTTCCTAGGCTAGGTATCTACTAGGATGAGTTTTTTTGTCGTACTTATTTTCTTTTTAAGTTTTAGAGGATGCTTCCCTTCCTTTGTGTCGATTTAAACTCTCTGTTCCTTAAATGGTTATTGCCGATAAGGATTCGAACTCAAACAACAATAATTCTATATTGAAGAAGAAGAAATCTCTAGCAGAGGATGACGTTTCGAAGATAAATTCTCTTATATTTGAATAGATTTTTCAATTTTTTTAGGTTTTCGTTTCTTTTGTTTTTATGCTATAAATTTTTTTTTTTAAAATTTTGAGAAAAAATATATTTGCTTTGTCTATTGAATGTTTCTTTCCTCGTGTTGATTGTTGTGTCTGATAACAATATGAACTATCTTGAACCAATATATTGAATCAATTCAAAGAGAAGAAAAGAGAAATCAAGAATAAAGAGAGAAAATAATAATTTATTAAGCCACAAAAATTAGGGTTTACAATGAATTAAATAGATTATATATTACAAGGAAACCTAAAATAATAAGGAAACTAGATATTATCATAGAGTTGTGAGAGATTTGAATAGCACTAGTATTATCACAATACATAGGAGTTGAAGAAGAATGAAGAACGCCCATGTTGGCAAGTAATCATTGCAACCACACAATCTTAGTGGTAGTAGATGCTATAGCTCACTACTCTGCCTCAGTAGAGGAATAGAAAACAATAGTTTGCTTAGGAATAGAAAACAATAGTTTGCTTCTTACTATTTCAAAAGATAAGAGAATCACCAAAACAATATACAAAAACCAGTAGTGGACTTGCGATCAGTAAAGTCGCTGGCCAAATCAGCATCAGAGTAGGCACGAAACACTAAGGATACGATCGATGGAAACAAAAGATTCTAAAAGCATGTACAACGAAGATAACGCAAAATACGAACAACTATTACCCAATGAACTATACTAGCAGCTGAAACAAACTGACTTACAATGTGAATAACAAAAACAATATCGAAAAGTGTGATGGTAAGATAAACTAGACATTCAACCATAGTGTGATACAAAGTGGGATCAGTCAAGGGTACACCATTATAAGATGAATATCGAGCAATGGACTCAAGAGGAATATCAATAGTTTTAGTATCGATAAGATGGGCTGGCTCAATAACATCTATAGTATACTTGAACTGAAAGAGAAGATAATCTCTAGGAGAATAAGCAAATTCGATCCCTTAAAAATAAGATAATGCACCAAGTCCTTCATTTCAAAACGACGAGCTAATTCGAATTTCAAACCTGTAATTCCATTAATATCCTCACCAGTG